AATCCATAACACCTGCCTACCATCCAATCAAAAGCAACCTAGCTCAAGTGTTGAGGTTATTTTTAGAGATTACAGTGTTATAAATCTTAAAGCTATTATAAATTTATATAATTATTAATTTCAGAACTTTGAAAAATTAGTCAATACAGTGAACTAAAAAAAAGAGAGAGTAGCCTAGTCATTTGTACACAAATGAAAGCCTTCATTGGGCATAGTTCTGCCAATCCAATGCACCACGTGAATTCTATATAACTTTTTATCGTAATTTGAAAAATGTCGCTCAAGATTTCTTCCCAAATATTCTCTTCAAATTCCTGTTCTTTTCCTTGCCATTTCCATGGTCGCTTGTATTTATAATCATCCCTGGGGCTTCAAGGTGCCATGACAAACATAGCTTTCGGGGTCCTGAGAGTTCTGATACAATTTTACTTGAAATTGGAAAAAATCCTTCTAAATTGAGCATCCAAAAAACAGCCAATTTGGATCAGCTAAAAAGAAGTGAAAAGATACGCAACACTCAGGAGAGTCAAATTTATGAGAAAAAATATTAAATGGAAACAGCGAAGCAAATTACAAAACCATTATATTATCTTATTAATTTATTAAATCCCAAAATGTACGAAGGTACCAGCTGATTACCACGTAGCCAATGAGCACCAGTGTACTGGCAAGTTGCGATTACAAAATTTATCAAGAGATTCTGTTTGCAAGTACAAGTCAAATAATTAATTGTATATCGATGAAACCAAAGCTTTGCCTTATCCCAACAGAGGAAGGAATAACTCCTGCAACAAAACTACGTTCTCGTGAAAGAAACTGTGTACACACATGCACAATAGTGAACGATCATTTTCTAAAATTCAAAAAAAAAAGAAGCAATATTCACATGATGTACTATGGTACTATAAAACTCTCACTACTCCAATATTGCATATCATTGATCAAATATTTTATAAATTATTAATGAGTATGTTGAAAAAAAATATATTAATAAAATTATAAATAAATAAAGTATGTTAAAAAAAATTATTCATTTTATTCTATCAGTATATCTATAAGTAAAAATAACATATCACTAACGTAATATAATTTTTAATTTCTTTGGTGTGTTAACAATAACAATAGCATTTGTAGTAATTTTTTTTAGTTTTTTAAAATATTTCGATAATCTAGTTATTGATGATCCTATTAGTAATATTGATATTTGCAGTAATTTTTTCAACTTCCTAGAATATATCGATGAAGTTATGCTATTAGAAACTTTGTCAGTAATATTTTAAAAAAATATATTAAACATAAGTAGAGAAATAATTAAAATAATTTTTTTATAATTTTAAAATAAATTAATATAAAAATAAAATATTTATTTTAAATTTAAATATTTGTATGTTCAAATACAATAAATCTAAAATAAAAACGACACTAAAAGAGGAGGAGGAGGAGGATGTGGGGCCAATTAGGCACTAAAAGAGGAGGAGGAGGATGTGGGGCCAATTAGGAGATGCACATGAACTACTTACCTATTATCTCATCTTCATTAATAATCAATGAAGTTCTTTATAATTAGTAGTGAGTCATTTATATTTGTTATTAAGATTGGTTGTACAATCCTTTACTAAGTTGGGTCATCTTTTCAAACAATTGCCTGAATGATTAGAGATTGTTGTCTCAATCTTGATTCCGAGGTCCCAACAATTAATACACTACAAACTGCCTGCATATCCTCAATCATAGTATTAGAGATATCATAAACCCGATTTATATAAGATCTGCTAGTAGATTCAGCCTCTAATCACTAATTTTGATCGAGTTCCGAATAAGTCGAAAGATTGTTGTTGTATCTCTCAAGTAATAAGGTTTTATATGCTTTTGAAAAAAAACTAGTCAGTAAATAAATAAAAAATTATAACTTAAAAAATTGTTGAAATCTAACTTACCACGAGCTTCTGAATTTGATTATTCATAAGTTGTTACATCCTTTTTCTTATGATTCTTATTTCACATGTGAGTTTTAATAAATAAAAACTTTATTGGTCACAGATTACACCCAAGCATCATAGCCTATAAAAAAAAAAGAACTATTGTTAGTTAAATATTTTCATGTAATGCAACATTTAAAAAAAAAATTAAATAGAATCTTACTATTTGCAAAATGAACAAAATAGATTTTATAGTGTGTGTGGTAATGGAACTATGAATCTCTTTAGTCCGGTTCTCCGAACTAGACTATGACCACTATAAGAAATGTCGAGATGTCATGTACTATCCAAGATGCATGGAAGTAGTAAATCCCTTTATAAGGCCACGTCTTCTTAACCTGAAAAACCTTTATTTTTTTATATATTTCTTTGATTTTTTTATGGGCATTAGACAAAAAATCACATGACCTAATTCATAGAAAAATAATTATTAGTTAAGATTATAAAAAAATAATTTTTCATATGTGTTTCAACTAAAAACTAACACATACATAGGAAAATAATTTATAGTCCATATTAAAGTTGTTTGCATCTGAGAATTATATTTTCTTGAGATATTATATACATGTCAAAATCCTGAATGACCAATACTGATTCAACTCATCAATCAAATATCAAAGATAAACATCAATATTCCAACCTAAACTATTACGACTAAATATGATCATGGATAAAAACATGAATTTTGGTCTTATACACATCTCCAGTAGTAAGTTATAAATAGTGAATGTCATCACCAAAAGAATAAGGTATGGCAAATAATCCAAATGGATTGAATCTGTTAGTACATAACCCAATATGTATGTTTTATGATTTCATTGAAAATTGAAAATGTAACCTATTAAACTACTTTCAGGCTTCACTATTAAAAGGGTGCACCATGAATTCATCCATTATATCATGTGAATGATGTCATATCATATGCTCAATAGTCTTTGGAGACATGAATAACCTTTACAGTCTAAGAGTGATTGAGAAATATCTTAGTTTTTTTAGATGTGACAAGAGTCATTTCCCTACTAATTTTGGATTTATAACAAGCATACTCACAGGTTTTATATTCGGTCAAATCTGTATTTTCTAATATCCTAGGTCAAGGGGTTTTATCATAGATTTAATATCACATAAGTTGTTTTTTAGCTTGTTTCACTCAAGTAAATTTTTTTTCATCCATTTGATGATTTTATCGTAACTAGCCTCACTCAGCCTATGATCTGACTTGATAGTGAAGACTTAGGCAACAATCGAGAATTTACTGTGATTTGTGCATTTATCCTATAATGGTTTGTCAAAATCTTTTAAAACTTTAAAAAAACCCAGTTGAATATGCATTTGGTTCTTCATTTATAATTAAACATATATTTATATAACCCTGATTTATTCACATTGTATTTATAATCATACTCCTATAATGATTATTATTATCATCTACAACTCTATGAACATTGCTAGAGTTAAAAGTTAACCCAACCATTCTTTTACCATGGTTTCATAAAGAACACAGAGTTTTTCGTGTGCAAACCAATACAAATATTTTTCTAATGAATATTTTTTGTAAAATAAGTATAGTAACAACATCTAAAATGAAAAACTTTTATTTTTACACTTCTTATATGGATATTTCATAATGCCTTCACTAATATTTTTTATATTAGATAGTGCATAATTAATAAAATCCTCTATCTCATTATAATAATTTATCATATGCAACCTTTTAGGTAAAAGTCATTGCATCCAAGAACGATCATCAATTACTTATATAAAATATATATAGAATATTAATGACATGTATTAATTAGTAACGTGAACTAAACAAATTACCATTACCTATTCAATTAGTTATTATTGATTGAATTCAAAATTATTCAATCTATTTTAATATTAACCTTTAATGATTATCTTTTTTTCTCTAAAAAAACTCAAAGCCCTCCAAATTTACCTAAATTTTCAACTTAACAATAAAATTGATAAAATATAAAATGTAGCCATTAAATAACCCATTGTTTATTTCATTATACAAAATCAAACTCAATTTCATCACGTGACAAATAAATATAATTTTTCAAAATCTTAAATAAACCCTAACAAGTACAAATCATATATTCATACAATAAATTTTCATAGGAAAAGGCTATAAAATAAGTAAACACACTAACAAACTACATATACTACATAAAAATACCAAAAACTTAGCATAAGAAAAATAGGTTACAAAAAAAAAACAAAAAATAGATTGGTTTGCTTACTTACTGTGACCAATAAAAGATTGGTTTGCTTACTTACTGTGACCAATATTCAAAAATAAATTGAATCATAACAGAAATATTGACAAACTAATTGTTAGGGTGACCGGGTTTGTGATGATGAAAATTTGATTTGTAATGAAATAAACAGGGAAATGGTATTGTTTTCTACAAGAAAAAAAAAAGACTAAGAAATGAGGGAAAGGGGGGGTTGTCTGACAAGTTATAATTTAAATATTACCGATGAAAATTAATGACAATTAGTTTTCATTAATATTTCATTTGTGATATTGAGATGTCATATTTTTTGACAGAAATAACAGGAAAATACTTATCTTTTTTTTTTATTTCTTAATTTCAACTTGTAATTTTTAGTATTCATTGACAGAAATATTTTCGTCAATGAATATCGATGAAAATAGTAATGTTATATTTTATCGGTAAATTTTATTATAATTTATTAATATTATTTTTTCTATTGATATTTTTGTTTGTATTAGGAAATTTTTAATAGTGACGGTGAATAATACAAACAACAAATAGGAAAAGGGAGAAAGGAAATTAAATTAGAAAAAAGAATCCATATATGCAGTGCATCATATAATTAATTACTAGCAAAAACAGAAGAAGATATCAACTAAATTACCAAACATAAAAGACTTCATAAACCAACAATCATATAACAACAATTGTTGTTGGAATGATGATTCCAAGATAATCCATTATCATTATAAAAAAAGAGGAGCTTCATGCGTCCTATGCTATCTCAATGAATAGAATGACCATGTGCAGTCCTGAACTCCTTCCAGGGTTCAGGTTTCATCCAACAGACCAGGAGCTTATCATTCATTATCTGAGAAAGAAAGTCTCATCTTCGAATCTGGAAGTCGTTATAATAGCAGACGTGGATATCTACAAATTCAATCCATGGGAACTTCCAGGTGCTTAATTCATTCTTCTCAACCCAATTATGTTTTTATGTCTTTCTAGTAGTGTATTGTTCATAATTTCAATGGAAAGATGTGGATTTTCTTGCTGCCTTGGTACAAAAAAAATAAAATTGCTTTCATGATATTCTAGTTTGGGATATCTTGAAGCATCATTCTCTTAGCCATTGTTGTTCTGTTTACCTGTGCAGGAAAAGCCTTGTTTGGGGAGACCGAGTGGTTTTTCTTTAGCCCAAGAGACAGGAAATACCCCAATGGTGCTCGTCCAAATAGGGCAGCTGGATCAGGTTACTGGAAAGCAACCGGAACCGACAAGCCAATCCTCACCTCCAATGGATCACAGTGCCTTGGGGTGAAGAAAGCTCTTGTGTTCTACAAGGGCCGGCCTCCAAAAGGCATGAAAACGAGTTGGTTGATGCTTGAGTACCGCCTTCTTGATGATACCCACCATCTGCATAGGCTCAGGGGATCGATGCGAGTAAGTCTTTTAAGCTGTTCTTTCCGATAAAAGCCTGTAAAAAGAAACAGTGATCTGTTGATCGTGAGAGTAGGATGTAGAAACAGTATCGTACAAACGTACATGGAACAGTATAATATATCTGCTTCTACGTAAGATGAAACTTCTTGTTTCACGAGGGAAATTTTTTAATTAAAGAAGAATAAACATCAAACTAACCATATTAGTAATTAAGAGAATAAACATCAAACTAACCATATTAGTAATTAAGTTCTATATATATTCTTGATAAACCGAAGAAGTAGTCATGTAATTCTATCCTTGAACTAGTCAACTACCTTCTTTTCGGACGAAGTCATCCAAAGAAAATAAGGAACTGGTTGATGAACAAAAGCTGAAAGGCCTAACTTAAAAAAACGAAGTAAGATCGATCCCTGCAAAAGTCTAGCTCATTATGAGAAATGGAAATTGATTTTCCTATCCTAGCAATGGCAACAAGATTACTCCATTACCATCGATATGTAGAAGCTTATTTACCAATCATTTCTTACCTTCCGCGGCGCTGCTGTTCATCGAAAGTTGAATCCAATGATAACAGCTTCTATTATTCATCCGTATTTTAAAAATATTCTCTGTTACAACAAGACTCTTCGACTGACTCTGAGTCTTCTTCTATATATCCTAGCTGGATGATTGGGTTTTATGCCGGGTTCGCCAGAAAAGCAACACTCGACCACAAAATGGAGACGATCATGGCAACAATTTTAGCAGCTTCTCTCCATTTACTAGCTTGAGGTGCTTACAAGGTCAAGAAATATTCCAGAAGGGCAATACCCTTAAAGACTATTATTATGATCTTCAGCCATGTCTTACGGCTCCTGCAGAAAGTGAAGAGGCAGATGAGCAAGGACAAGCGGAGTTCCAAGAAGTATCTCCAGAATACTCAATCTCAGGTTCGGATTCAAGTTCTCAACCAACAATGGTTTCCTCTGTCAAAGAGAAACTTGAATATATCAAGAAGATACTCTCCATTGGAGCTCTGGAAGAACTAGTGCCAACAACTCCAAAGAAGAGGCTGCATGTATCCTCTTCAAATAATGCAGAAAATGCATGTATCTTCGACAAGCTTCCTTCACTACCAAAAAAGAGGCTGCACATATTCTCTTCAAATAAAGCAGAAAATGAATGCATTTTTGAAGTTTCTTCTCCTACTCTTTCAGCCTCGTCTCAGCAGAGCTTTCAGGGCTCTTGAAATAAATTTATCATCCAGGGCTCGTGGCCATGGTGATCGATATTATATATCTATCTGTCCAGCTCTCTCTCTCTCTCTCTCTCTCTATATATATATATATATATAAAAGGTGAAACCAATTGTATAATAAATACTAGTATTGTTTGGAATTAGAATGCTATGGATATATGCTAAGTGGATCATGTCAGCTTTCTGCTTTTTTTGAAATGTCAAGGTAATTTCTTTTCTATTGCTAAATCTTCCCAACACAACCAGATGATTAATAGTTTCACTAAAGAAAAGTTGAGATAATTTTTCCATTCAATAGATAAACTGTATAGATATATATACAATAGACTCGGTAATTAAGTACCATATAAACAATTTGTCACTTACCTTGAAACTATTTTTTCTTCAAATGATCAACATATTTCTACTACACCTGCAATCCACAAGAAATCTTCCCTTATTTTTAAATTCAGATCTGTACGCTTACCCATGATTAAAGATTTCAGGATGATTATCATTGTTTTTTCAACGTGAAAATAACATTAATGATATTCATGTACAGTAAAAGCTAGAAATAAATGGCATATCACTTCTTCTTTTTTTGAATTCCTCTATGTCGGTCGTTGACACCAAAAACTCGTATAAATTAATCAACGTTATTATTTGCTTTAGGGATGGTAATAATGCAGATAAATTCATCTGCATAAATTAATCCATTTCATGTATCTTTTGCGTGGGAAGTTCGATATGTTTCAAAGGAATCTTATTCACAGGAAAAAATAATAATAATGTTATCAGTGTTTCAAACTCCATTTAAGGCACCTAAATTCGGAGTGGAACCCGATGAGAATCATACCCATACTCAAAACCACCCAGAAATTATTAGATTCAAAACTTAGATATATTGTTCAAAAAAGCATTAAGACTTGTTCATGCACTGAAGAATGTGAAATGTTCTTTATTTGTTGATCCATGAATAAAAAGGATTCAGCGACCCAGTAGCATTGTGAAGTATCAGGAAAGAGGAAAGCTCCAGATGATGACTCTTCGCCCCTTGCTTAGCAGACCCTGTTCATTGTCGTCGATATATTTCTGATTTTGAGGAAATTGAGGTTGTAATAATTAATGGTAGGTAAACTATGTATTGTGCTACACAAGATATACTGGTTTGGACCTTTTCCCCTAGAAATCAAAAATTCGCTGCCTTGTTTTCTCTCCTTTGTCACTGGTGGCGACGGGTTGCGGTTTTGTGATCCCGACCCGAGTTCCTAGACTGCCGGACGAAAACATCTCATTATTTAATAGCGTACTGAAGGACATATCCCCCGCCGCCGACGACCCGATGCGGGAGACTTTTTCTTAGGTTATACATAAAATAACCCCAAAGTAAAATTTATATATATATATATATATATATATATATATATATAATAGACTCTAAACTTAAGTATATTCAGAAGATTATAAAAATATTTTATGAATCATAAAATAAAATTTTACATATTACATTAAAAAGAATAATATTACACAAAATAAAAATTAAAAAGTTAAAAAGGGTTGAGTGATAGGGCATGTGAAACCCACACGTATCCTGGAACCTAATCTTAATTAAATAAGATAAAAAATTTAATGCAACTAAATTAAATAACACTAAATTTCTAATAAATTAAGTGAAATTGTTAACTCTTCATCTTTTAAGAAATCTGGCCACTATTAGTCTTCTTCTCGAAAAGTCTTGGAAAAAAACTTAGTTTTGTCATCACCTTGCAGAGCTTGATTCTCCCTCGTCTTTTACCCCAAACAAAACAAAAAATATAGCCCCACACACCCTGTATTTTATACTTCTATCTAGACAAAACAAAAGTTTTTTTATAGCCTAAAGGCAATACTATAAGAGGTCAAAATCCATACCCCAACTAGTCGTGCTAGAAACTAATAAAAACCAACCAATGTACTCTCTTTGTCAATTCTCAAATGTTGCAAAGGTTAATCCTTAATCTCATTGGATGGATGCGATTCATTCTTCAATATCAAATGGTGAGAATTGTCTAGCTTATGGTTTATAGATGATTTTTATTGTCCTTTAAAAACCCTTATTAAAGGCTATTGAAAGGTAGGAGAAACCTAGAAAACACATATCCTTGTATTATCGAACCCGAAAACCCTTCACCAAACCATTAAACAACCAAGAAAAACAACATAAAACCTTTCATAATACACTATTAAAAATCCAAAGTTGGTTTAGAAATCCTTAATGAAGAGGTATTTTTCTATATAAGTATGTTTCTAACTTTGAGAAGGGGGTGAAACTCAATTAGCATACCCCCTCCCGTTTCTTTTTGCTTATTAAATGTTTGTATTAAATATTCAATATGCATTCCCTTATTAACTTCTTGTTAGCTTTGATATAATTAGTGTTTTATTTGATTTTTTTTAAATGCTTAGTTATAATATGATTTAGTATATGTATGTTTTGTTTAAAGCTTGGTTTGATGTTTAAGATTGTTTATTGGAGTGTTAAATGGCAATTTGAGACACATTTTAGCATGTTTTAATGGTTCGGGATGTTTAATAAAGTTTTAAGGTAGAACATGTTAAAAGATTTTTTTTATATTATGTCATTGTTAGTGGCTAGCTGGGTTTGCTTAAGTCAAATGCATGTTGTTTATGGTTAAAAATATAAAAAATAGACAACAAAACAATGTTGAGATGTGTTTTTGGTTGTTGGAGGTAATATAGACTTTGCTTACTGTTTTGCTTTTACTTTTACTTTTTTGTTTCTTGTTGTTTTAATAGATCAAACAAATTATGTTGGGCATATAAAGCTATGGTTGCTAAGTTTAGGTTATTTTCTAGCTTTTTAAGGTTTATTTCGGGTTAAACTATTGTTGGGCAATTTTATGTTTTTCTGGGTTTATAGGTTGATATTCATTGGATAAACATTATCTTAGGTTCTTGATTTTCATGCCTTTTTTATAGATTGTTGGCTCTTAGACATGTATTTTAGCTTGTTGATCATTAATTTAGAATCCAAAGGGTTTAAAAACACCAACATCATGGCATTTGATCTTTGGTTCTTTCGTTTTATTCTTTATAAAAAAATCAAATAATTATTATATTAGGATGATTATCGTGTTCATACAACCTAAAATCTTGTTTGAATGTTGTTTTTACATGTCTCAGTGCCCTCAATTTTATGAGATATGGTCTAAAATGAGATTTATATTGTTAGGTTCTTTAACGTGTTCCTTGTGTTCTTCATGAATTTCCAGGAAAAACCACTTGTTTGATTTTTGTTTGTTTTGTTTCCTATAATTCTAGGCTTAGGCCTCGGGCCATTAAGTCCAACCCACATAACTAGGCTCAGCCCATCCCAGCCATAAGGGCATGTTTGGCATGCCTTATTTTTACTAAAGAAAAAAAAATATTTTTTCTTGTTCTTGAGGCGTTTTTTCCAAACACAGCCTTAAGATATTTTTTATGCCTCTGATTTTTTAATAAGAACATGTTTGGCAAACATACTATACTATTTTCTTTTAACACTAGTTTGTCTCTTATTTTCTTGTTTTGCCAAACAAGCTCCAAACGATTTCCAATCAAATTATGAAAAAAAATCAAGGATCATTTTAAAATTATTTATGGATCCCTTGCATGTTTTTTCAACAATTTCTCTTAATGATGGAGTTGTAGACTTACACTATAAGATATTGATTTAGCGTTAAAAATATTTATTTTTCTTTAAAATTTTGAAAAAAAATATATTAAAAAATCAAAAAATTCCTTATTCAAAAAATACAAAAATATATTTTATTTGTGTGCATATAGCCAGATTCTAAAAGTTTTTCATGCATATTTAAAACAAAAACAAAAAAAAAATTACATTTTCATCATGCTTTGAAAAAAATACAAAAATTTATATAATAACTAGTTTATGATTATCTATTAGAATTTGGCCAAAAATTTAAAAATACCATAAAAAATCATTTGTTTAATTAATATTTGAGGTATTAATTTTATGATGCAATGGATATCCCACTATCAAATGAATTAATAAAGATAATTGTTAGGAATTAACTGTAGACTTTAATATGTGGGGTATAAAGTTACATTATAAAGTATATCTATATGTACTAAAGATACAAAGTAGATATAAATACAACATTGAAATTTGAGTTTTAGAACTGTTAAGTTTTGACTTGATGAGGTAGAGACCTTCTTGGTGAAGAGGATCTATCTTGAACATTAGACAAACTGATAAATAGAAACATGACATAGAAAAACAATCGATCAACAATTTAGCTTACTATAGGTAGGCAGTATGAGTGATGCGTCTTTCTCATACACAATTAATCCCTTTACCTAGACTCTTGCATTTCAATAGGTTTTTCAGTTACCATAATACTCCTTTAAAATTATGATTTTATGATTAATCCCAATTCATATCAAAACCCCCTTGATCTAGGAATCAAATTCATCATTCGACTTTATATATGTCACGACAACACATGTATTTTTTTTGCCATAATAACCCATACTCTCACATATTTATGATTGTCATAATAGTCCATAAATACATATATTTATAACTTCCATAGCAGCCTGCATTCACATGTATCCACATTGTCATAATGTCCCTTTAATATATGTATTTATAGTTGTTATAACATCCCACATTCATGAACATCCAGGCTATCATGATAGCCTTAAACTTCCTATATATTTGGTTGTTATAATAGCCTTTATTTTTATGAATTCAAGTTTTCATGAAACCCGTGCTTTCACATACACTCGGTTGTTATAACAACCCATATATACTCATCCTGGAAGCTTATATTGTTGATCGTTGGGTCACATATTAATATTTTATGTATTTTGAATATAAAAATTAAAGAGAAATAGACTAATAATATAATTGGATGAGATTAAGTTTAAACAAGTTTATATGAAGATTACATCAATAAGCATTAAATGAAAAAATCAATCAACAAGTCCAAGATCCAAAAACAAGTAAA